GACCAACCCGGCAGCACCCCAGCTGCTCTGCTCCCGGTTCCCCGATTCAGCTGCTGGTCAGTTTCAGCAGCAGCTGAATGGGGGAAGCCTGTCCGGCTGCCCCAGCACTTCCGGGTTCCTGATGGTGCCGGACCATCAGGAGTCCCGGAGCATTGGATGCCGGACTAATGGAGTTTTACTGTACTTCAAATTCACATGATTTTTTTAAATGCTTATGAGATTTACAGTCCTGGAGAATGATGCTCACAGAACAGGTATAGAATGGAGAGTAGCAGTGCAAGCTTCCCTACCTGGCCCTGGAAATAAATGTTGGCTTTAAAAATCTTTCTATCTGTGCAGTCCTTTTTTTCTCTCTTGAGACTACCAACTAGGGGGCAGCCAATGCCAGCTTTAGTGGTTTGTATGATGTAAACACCTGTCCAGTAAAAAATGGACTGGGATCATCAGTTCATTTCACCTGGGTAAAGATAACTTTAGGTAAGCAGTAAACTGTCCTGGGCATGGATCAGTAGCCTACAGGTGAAAAGCTCTATAGGGATTACACATCTCTTGAGTGATCCTGCTTTCTACATCTCATACACAATGAAAACTGTTTGAAGTGACTAAACAAGGGAATGACAAAAATCAGCTGGTAATGTGAGGTAGATAAATATATTTTAAGACAAGGATTTGCCTAGTAAGCATGGCATCTAGCACCAATTTTACAGTACTTACTAAAATTAAAAAAAACCCTCTGATCAGTTACTGATGTTGTTGTGCATGCAGAAACTTGCTTCTTAAGGCCATGTCTCCACTGACTGGAGGATCGATGCTCTGGTGATCGATCTTCCGGGTTTGATTTAGAGGGTCTAATAAAGAGACCCACTAAATCGAAAGCTGAGGGTGCCCATGTAAACCACGGTATTTCTTGCTGTCACTGTTAAGGGAAGTCAACAGGAGAGTTTCTCTTGTTGACCTCCTGCTATGGGGCTGCCCCAGAAAATCAATGCAAGGTATGTTGACTCCAGCTATATGCAATTCATATCAATTTTCTCTGCCAGTGTAGATCTGGTTTAAGGTAGATGTCAGGCTTATCCATGCCTTTTTTTAAACCACATTATCCTTCAGGAATTATGTTTCATATTCCATTTTTTTTATTTAAAATATCCGGATTTGCTCTGTTTCTGTTTAGACAGATTTTCTCACAAAATATATGCTCCACTCTAAAGAGAGACCCCTGGTTCCACCAGAGTGTTTTTGAAACCCCTTCTCAAATGAAGGAAAGAAGCAGATTAATCTTACAATTCAGAGTTGGCTTAAAGCAGGCAAGGAGAAAAAAAAGTGTCTACCTGGAAAGTGCGTCTCTTTATGACCGGGGGTGGAGCCAGCCGCACTGAATTGAGGAGAGGCAACAGCTGAAGAAGAAGACCGAACCCAAAGGTCACAGGGCAAAGGTCACAAGGCAAAGGAGTCAGTAGGGCATCAAGAGTCAGAGAGCAGCCAATAAAGAAAATGAAAAGATAGGGAAAAAGAAAGATGGTAATGAGAATAAACCACAGCTGAGAAATAGTTAGGAATGGCACATGGCGGGATACTTGTCAACGGGTACTGCCTGGCAAACCTCTGAGCTCTGCTGTATTGTACTCTAACCACAGGAAAGAATGGAGGCACAGGTTTTTCTGGCAAGGGGTACAAATTTTGCTCCCCCTTGGTTTTTCACAGCCACCCAATCTATCAGTTCTTTCTTGCTTTCAGCCTGTGCCCAGAAAGAAAACTTACCAAGGGATTTATGCCAGCTTATACTGCGCTCTTCAGATCATCTTTATTGAAACAAAAATAAATATTCTTCTGCCCAATTCCCAGAGTTTCCTGGGGACACTGCTGTTCTCTCAGTTGTTTCTCTCAGTTATTAAGATAGAAGTTTGCTCTCTGGTTTTAAAGCTCCTTTTGTCACCTGAGCTCTCTGACAATGGCAGCTCCCTATTTCTGTGCCCCTCATTAAAGAAATATTTTTTTCTCTGGCAGTCATCTTGTGAGTAAATTATTCTGCTATCAGTTCTCTACAAATTACAAAGAGGATACAGCTTACAGTTATCCCCTTTTTTCTCTTACTCCAAGATTGTTCCCCATGTCTCTTTAAACTTCCTAATGATTCTGCCATTTTTCCTCTTTGTTAGATCTGCTCCTTCAAGGTATTGTGGGATTCCACCATTTAACTAGTTGGAAGGGTCAGTGCACAACAGTGAAGAAGTTCCTCCCAAGCAGAAGCAAAGTTCATCATATATTCATTAACCTCCCATTTCCTGCCAGGGACAGCAGTGAGAGAACTGGACCAGATTGCAAAGGTAAGCAGAGTTCTACCAGGGGCTGCCTCACTTGTTCAAGACTCTTAATTTTTTTTGCTTTCCTGAGATGCTCACTATCACCATGACCCAATTCCAGAAAGAACTTAGATGTCTGCTGATCACCAGGGCTATGTCTACACTGCAGAACTTTTCTGGGATACCGGAGGCATCCCGGAAAAGCAATGCTGTGTCCAAGGAACGCGTCTGCTTTTTTGGAACAGTTTCCAAAAAAGCAGATGCATTCTTTCACCATCCCTATATTCCTCATTGTTGAGGAATAAGGGATGTGCCAAAATAGGAGGATTTTCTGAAATTTGGCCCCGTATATACCGGCCAAATTTCAGAAAAGTCTCTTTTGGAAAAAAAGTGGAAAAAGAAACGCAAATTGCAGTTTGCAATTTGCGTATCTTTTTCCAACTTTTCTTTGCAGTGTAGACCTAGCCCAGAAGATAAACTTCTGCCTCACAATATGCTGAGTGTGTGCTTAGCGTTTTCTGGTTTAAAAGTAACCATGGCTTGTGACCCATTTTGGACAGCAATCCTCTCAACATCACAAAGCTGACCCTCACAAATCAAAACCACATACTAAAGCTCAGAGTCTTCTGTTCATCTTTCTGCTGGATCTAATTTCCACTTCCCAACATGTTCCTGTGCACTCAAGAGGCTGCTTAAAACCACAGAACACTGGTGTTGACAGCACCAATTCAAACTCTAGGAATATTCGTATTAGGCCTAATTAACTTTCCTGTTTACCTCAGTTTCACACTAACTCAGTTTTCCTAACTCCACTGAAGGCACTGTTGATTTACAGCAGAGTGAGTGAAGGGAGAAAAGAGTCCTCCGTGTGCACACTCAGCACTCCTCTCCGTGGGTTTACCTTGTGTTAGTGGTGTAGCTGAGGCTGAGAGGTGTTGCCTGCAGGTCTCCCATGACAGTGATGATGTGCATTTAAGCAGCACGTTCTGCTCCCCCAAACACGGGTGTTTGTGTTTTACTGAAAGCTCAGACCCAGTCTTGTTGCAAAATGAAATGTCATCACAATATTGCAGCCTTACAGCCCTTATATAAACAGTAAATGCATATTTGAGGTAAACCAGTGGAGAGAAACTCTGATGCAGAGCGCCACAATTAAAAGCAGATTCACAGACCACATTAGGGTGCAGTCTGCACTGAACCTCAGAAGAAATAAACATGATCATTTCATCTTTTTAGGTCACGCTATATGGTCAACAGAGCATTTGAAGACTTGCAGCACCCATGCTATCAGTATACGTGGCATCTGGGAGGGAGGAAGCAGCCATGTTGTCAAGGCTCTGAAGTCCAGTCAATCTCTAAGTGGCTGTCTGTGTTGACTGCCTTAAGATTTCACATAATTTTTAAGGTTATCCTGTTCTCTAATCTAACACAGGAACTCATAAGCTATCAAGAAATGCAAAATGGCATTTGAAACTCAACCAGGCCACCTTTGACAGGAACAGGTTCTCCTCTGCCAAAAAGCAAACTTTTGTGAAGAGTGGGGTGAGGAATAGAGAAAGGAAGGCCTGGGGTAGGGCAGGAGGATTTTGACCAGAACTCTCATGGTATTAATTAGGGTGTTTAGTGCCATGCGTACGTTGTACGGAATATGGCCAATGCAATATCTAAATGGCTGGAAAATACAGAAACACCCGCCCTCCCCCAATGAATGGTCCTGTAGTTTTTAATGTTTTTTTAGTTACAGACTAACATAGTCTGTAACTCTGAGACTGAAAAATACAGAGATATTTGTATTTCCCTCTGAGACTGGAAAATACAGAGATATTCTAGAATTATCTTCAGCCATTGGTTTGATGAATGGTTATTTCCTATTGGAAATTAGCAAGAGAAGATTAGAAAGCAAAGTAATATAAGAGGCCAGCCTGGTGGTTCAGTGGGGCATTCTGGGAGCTGGGAAAACTGTTATCTTCTGCTTGGGCAAAGAGTGCATTTAGCTTCTACTTGTGGTAACTCAGGTGAATGATCTGGGAGCCACCAAGAGGGGATCTGTGGGAGGAACCATGCAGTAATTTGTGTAATCTGACTCTCTGGAGGGAGTATGGCTGCAATGTACTGGCATGTAGGAAGGGAGTGGGAGGGGCTATTCAAAATGGGTGGGGAGAAAAATGGCATTGAACATCAGCAGCTTATTTAGTTTCTCTTCTTCAAAACTGAGTATGTGTGGGCAGGGACCTGGCTGTGAATTCAAGTACACAGAGAGTAAGAATATGAAAAGTGTGTGAAAAATGCATTTCAAGCCTCCTTCTCCTGTCCCCAGAATTGCATTCCCAATGTTCCAATGGCAAGTTCTTTGCAACATGCAGCATGCAATATTGGATTTACATCCTGGTTCCTTTTGCATCAGAACTGGGTCTTGTTAAACCATTACCCACAAACCTTCAGTGTAAGAATCTGATTAGAGCGCAGGGCTGCAAGTGTTGTACTTAGGTATTCCTAGGGGATAGTGAAGATACAGTGACACAGAACTCGATCAGTTAGATATTCCACATCATCAGGAGAAGAAAGAACTTTACCAGCTTGACTCTTCTCAGACCAGCTTCCATTTCCAACCCTCCACTTGCCATTGTGATTTTGTACCATGCTCTGACAACCCAGTCTGTCCTTAAGCAGTAAACCATATAACCTGCTAGTGTGATCTCTTTACCCATTGGAACATATGTCCTGTTTGCTCATGGGTTACACAATAGACTGATGCTTTTAAGAGGGCCAAAGCAAAGAAGGATCCCTGACCTTAAATTTCCTCTCTTAAAAAAAAATCTTTCCCTGTTTTTATCATATTTGAAATTCATTGTCTTACCCATGGCATCTGAGGATAATCACTGCTGCTTGTATGAACCAGGTCTCCCAAGAAAGACAAATTGTAAGTTAACTAAAAAAGTGCACAACACTATTTAAAAAGGGACTTTTCTTAATGTTCCCTCCTTTTTTTTCTTATAATGAGGAAAAGAAGGATATCCGTGCATAGGCTAGTGCATATTTACTATTCCCTTTCCCCTAGATCTTTCTGGCTCACAGATATATTCAGCACAGGAAACTGGGCTTTGGGAAGTTGTCACATTGGAAGCTCTGATTGCAGCTTAAATACCTCCACACCGCTTTCTTAAAGACTGGATATGGTGCTCTTCTAGACTTAGTTAGAGCCAAGCAAGGCAGAGATTCACACTGTACACCATAACCCTAACCTGCAGCACCTCCTGTGTTACAGGCCTGAACCTTTTTTAAATGAAGTCTGCCAGCTATTGATTGGGTGGTGGTAGTACTGAAATGTGGACCAACATCCAGCAATAACTATAAACTGAGACAACTTGTGACCTCAGACAGGTATTAAGTGAGGTAATCAATTTCTGCATTTCCTAATTTTGTTGGGTCCCAGCCCCTGCTTTTCACCTTGAACGATGTGGGCAGTCTGGAGCCAAGGGCTGTAATGGAACCCAGGACACTGCTTAAGTGAACGCTGTTGTTAGCTTTTTTTTTTTTCTAACATAACAATCTAGTGAGACAGCTTATCTAAATAAACACAGCTGACCTTCTATTATTGTATCGGGGCCGGAACACACGACCATCCTTCTCCCCCCCAGCATCCAGATGCCACTGACAGGTCTGCTATGTACATGCAGCCTTCATACCAGAGTCTTGGACCACCTCATCCCTACTTCTCTCTGGGCCTGAGGCCAGAGCCCGATTTAATTGTCCAGAGACTTTTCAAAAAATAAATAGAAAGCTTTTAAGCCTGTCTCCCTGTGTACAGTGGTTACAAGTTTCAATCCTCTCATATGATGTCCTTCCAGTGCATTTCCAATGGCTTTTCAGAGCCACAGTTGTTTTTAGTTTTGTTTATGCCTGGTTAAATTCTATCCCTATAATCCTCTAAACACCATGATATACTCCCTTCTCTCTTGACAGGGGTACATGCCGGACAGGGCAGGATGGGGAAACAAGTGGGGCTATTTCCTGGGCTTAATGAAATTATTATTCAAATAAATAAAAGTGTCCCTTCCCTCTTCCAGACAGTGGTGTGCAAAAAGCCAGGTGGCATCTACAAGATTACAGGGAATTCATTGGGAACTGTGACAGAACTGGATACTGTAAATGTAGACCATAGGCATTATTTGCTGGGTGAAGAATTTTTACCCCTCCTCCCTCAAAAAACTTCCCGTCCCTCAGTGAATACATGGAGTTTAAGTGTTCTAACTATAAATACATAGGCTTTCAAGGCACATTGCCGGTATTACCCACCATCTTTTACTGGTTTGCTCATGAAGCCTATTTTTCTGCAACCCTGTATGGGCTAGATTGTGCCCTTTGGATCTGTATGTGGAGGGGGCCACCCATGCAAGTTTTGCCCAGCTTTAGCTCAGCCAACTCTGCAGTTCCCTCCCTTCCTTTGGGCTTTAGAGAAAGGCGTTCCACATGCTGGAAGAGAAGATAGAGAGCACAGGGACTGGGAAGGGAGAAGTGGCCAGGACAATGCAGAATCAGGATGGGAGACGCACATTGTCCCTGGACCTGGCCTTAAACAAATTGGGTGAAAAAGATAACAGAGGCCCTAGCTTCATTGTTCTTTCCCCCAAGGGCCTCCAGAATTCCTAGTCATACAGCCAGCGAGGGAACTAAGAAGGGTACAGAGATGGTATGGAGGCACAAAGCCTCTAAATGTCTCTGTATTCCTACAGATCCCCAGGGATCCACAAAATTTTGGGGTGTAGCCTATAGCCTTTTCCCTTTGAGGCAAGCCCCACTTCCTGACAGCATGATGCTGGGCAGTTCTTTGTGAGGGGACGATAAGGGTGTATATCTAGAGGTCTGTCCTAATTTAAAGGAAATGAAATAAAGTTGTAAATCCCAGCTGAAAAATTCTATATAATACCTTCCAAGAAAACATGTCGGTCAGAAAAAGAGCTCTTATGGGACACACGCAAGGACCTCACTAACGAAAGCTCTTACATTCCCATATAAAAGACACCCAAACAGATTAGGATTAATGTGCAGGAAGTCATGCTGCAGTTAATAACAAATACTGCTTACCCTGTGTGGGTAATCACCACACTGGCCCTGTGAAAGGAGGAGAGTAAAAAGAAAATAGTTTAAATTGTGAATGTAGTGAACTAAAATAGGCATATAGGGTCAGAGCTGCAGCAGGTAAATACTGACATGGCCACGCTAACCTCAGTGGATCAGCTATGCCCATTTAGGCCCACTGAGCATCCTGCAAATTATCTGATATCCCTTTCCTCCCCAATGTCATTTTTCTTTTAGTCAGAGATGCACAGAAAGCAAGAGAGAGTTTCTTTCAGAACAATCTCACAACAGAAGGTTTTTTCTCTCTCTCTCCACCCTCCCCCATTTTGAAATGTGCCCAAACTACCATTTTATAGGGGTTTTCAACATTTAGCCCATCCAATTTTCAGTGTAACTGCTGGGTCTTCACAGTTTGGAAATTATTTAAAAAACAAAACAAAAAAACCCCCAAAAAACCAGGGTCCTAACTTCATATTTAGGCACCTAAATAAATGGTGATTTTCAAAAATTTGAACCAGCCTCACTCGGTGCTTTTGAAAATCAGACCTCTTATTTAGACTGTACATATGGATTTAGGAGACATGCTTCTGGCTTCTAAGTTTTGGAATCACAGTTTTCTGTTATTAACGTTAGGGTCACATTGGCTTCCTATCTATATTCTGAGTCATAGCAGCATAATTTAGTGAAGAAATGTTTATACTGTGGACTCTCTAGCTATAGAAGAGCAGGCGATATTAATAACAACATTTCCAGATGAGTTTTCAGTCCATAATCTTTAGCATAGGTCATGACAGGAGTTGATGAGCACAGCTTAATTTTCAGATGTCCACAGGATGAACCCACAACTAGAAAAATATTGTCAGTTTTTGTCAACTGACCTAATTTGCTCTGAAAGCCATAGCTGAAGAATATGGAGTACTAAAAGGAAGCACTCATTCATTTCCCTGCCCTTTAAATGTCATTATAAACCCAACTCCCATCCAAATTACCTTCTCTCCTTTTTGTCCTGGAGGTCCCTAAGAAAGAAAAACAATTAAAAATGAATTAAAGAGAACTGTGCATATTAGGGGGAAAGTGCCAAAAGAAGGTAGATTTACAAGAGAGTGTATGAAGTACAGCACTTACCGGTTGTCCCTTGGGACCAGCAACACCCTTTAAAAAATACAGTGTTGTGAGTTACATTTATGCTTGTATATTCAATGACAGGAATATTAAATAGCACATGGCATGTACTCTGGTGAAAATGTGGTTTTTAAAAGTCTTTAGCCAAAAATTCCTATGGTAGATCTCAGTTGCCTTTCTAGTGTTTCGTACACTACAGAAACAAAGATGCACAAGTTCTATAGCTTTACTGAGGGGGGATACCTACAGGAGAGTGAAAAATCATGTAGCTATATGACTTCTGTCTGGGGACTGAAGCAGGAACACCTGGAGCTAAAAATCCAGAGCTGGTAGAGCCCCAGCTCTGAACCAACTTATATTCAAATGGATTTTTCATAAGAGCAACAACAGTGAAACAGTCAAAGCGAAGTCACCCAAAGTATGTCCAAATACCTGCCTGGCAAGGAATTGCTGGCTTTCTAAATTACTCATTTGAATAACCTTGTGAATAATGAACTCTCTGACCCATGTGAAAACTCTGAAAATTAGAGCTGGCCAAAAAAATTCAAAAGTTAAAATTCTGATGAAATGAAGGAAACTAGCTCAGGCTGTGTCTAGTCTACAAAGTTCTTCCAGAAAAAGATACGCAAATTGTGAATCACAATTTGTGTATCTTTTTCCACTTCTTTTTTCAGAAGAGGCTATTCCAACATTTGGCCCATCTACACTGGACCAAATGTCAGGAAAAAACCCTTTTTCAGGACATCCCTTCTTCCTCATAAAACGAGGTTTACAGAGATGCCGAAAAAATGTGTCTGCTGTTCTGGAAAAAAAATTCAGAAGAGCAGATGTGTTCCTTGGAAAAACTCTGCAGTCTAGATGTACCCTCAGCTACACATGCTCTGTACATTAGCTTTATAAGTCTTTATCATTGTGATTTCACAACCAAAATTCTTCAGATAACTCAAAGGCATAAGACCTCATTTAGGACTCCATAAAGCACATGCCAAGATGGTAGCATTACAATTAAGTCATTTTGGATTTACCAAGAATTCAAGAATAAAATAAGGCCTCTGAAAAATCATCCCAACTGGTGACAAATATGGTTTTTGTTCTTCAGAAAACTCCAAATCAGCTAAATGGGTGATTATGAAAAACTTTCCATAAACATTCACTTCTGAGAGGAGTCCAACCATGAAACATTTCATTTCCCCAAGTATTTTTAAAGAATATAATTAGTAACTGAACATAGAGCGTAAGAATTAAAATGACATCCCTATGCATAACTACTGAGATGCTATAGTGACTTGTTAGACAGCTACTCATTGTCATAAAACTTATAGATAAGCCTCCTAGCTTCTGCTATCATGGTTTTACTATATTAGCTAGGAAGTTAGAATGTTAGTAGGAATTTGAGTGGTTAGTATGCACAGAGTAGCTCATTTCGTTTGAGTCAAACTTCAGCTAATGCCCCTGAGAACCAACACAGCCTCAAACCAACCCACTGCTCCCTGGAGATACACATGTAGTTTTTACCATCTCCCCCTTCTGTCCTGGATGGCCCTGAAAAGGAAAAAAGAGTGTGTGTTGTCACTATAGAATCAGGTCTAAGCCCTTCATTCACACATCCCCTTGCTATGGCTGATCCTTTCATTTTGCCTGTTCTTGGTACCTATGAAGACATAAGGATGTATCCAGTAGCCTCACAGCAAGTGGATCCTCCTTCCTGGTTATTCAGGTGTAAAGCACAGAAAATAAAGCTTTGCTGGTGACTGACATAGACATGTGGTGAGGTATTTAGACCTTTTCCTCAAGCTTGGTGGGACGGGGTTACTGCTCTCCCTCTGACTAGAGGAAAGAGCACAGCTGTCTGTCCTCAGTGCAGGGGTGTGAAGGGTAGCAGTGCTCTGACTGATTAATCCCCCGACTAGAGTTCTATGAGCTGCTGAGGGATGTTTCTGGCAGTGAAATATAGGATCCTTAGTATGAGGTCTTGTGCTAAGAGGAGCTCTGGGTGGAGAAATTTGACTTCTCTTCCTTTCTGTAACTTGGTTGCAGTGAGCTATAATTTAGATTTTTCTTTTGGATTTGCCTGAAACAACTCATGCCTTGTTTCTTTACTCTGGCTGGCAGAAACTCTATAGTATCTGTGTGTGCCCTTTAAAGGGGCAGGGCATTATTTATATTTGTCTGTTTACAACAAAGCTCACCACAAAAGGGGTTTGAGCACCCCCAGGGCCTTCAGAATATTTGCTGTGCTGGCTGACCTGTCGCCATGTGGGGGAGGAATAAACTATACTGTTCAATTAAGGGCAGTCTGCTGCAGTGAGATATCTGAAGCTTAGGAAACTCATTCCATTTGTCTCTTAACTGTCACTGCTGGAGGTGGGAAGTCAGTTGCTCAGGTTTAAAGGGTGGCTTCAGGGATAAGTGCTAGTTCATAGGTGAACCAATAAGGTAATTGATCAACATCAGTAGCGGAAGGGCACCTTCTATGATTTACTGATGCTCTGAAGCGTACCCAGATGAATTTGGTGATGGTCTTCTCCTGCCCACAACTTTTCATATGCCTAAGGGCATGCACACACTTTGCAAAATAATTCTATCCAAATTAACCTATTAGCAGCTGGGCTTAAAGGACAGGGGAAGTTTTAGATCAAGGAACAGGGAGAGAGAAGCCATGAAGGAAAAGTTTTACTTACTGGTTTCCCGTCCAAACCAATTGGGCCCTGAAAGAAAAAAGGGAGAGCTGATGGGAAACTAGTTCATTGGTGGTTTATCCAGTTGTCCCATAAAACTGGGAGGAGACTGAATAAGAAGCAGATAGATCACACAGAATGATGTGGCTGGGACTATAAACAAGAAACTTTGTTAGATGTGAGATGCAGAACACAGGAGAAAGAAAGCAAATTGACTGACCCAGTAGAGCGCTGCTATGTGAGAGATTTCTTATCAGGTCTCTCATTGGCTGCAGAGCCAATGTGTCCATTATTCAGTTCCATGGAGGAATTTCTTGCCTCTGTCACTAGTGGCCTCTGGAATTAAGGATCTATCATAATGGGCTCTGAATGGACCTTTCAGTTCTCGTTGGCTGGAAGGATGCTGGCTGTAATGCAAGGGCTCAAGTGTATGTGTGTGTGTGTGGGGGCGGGAGGGGTGGCTGTGTACGAAACATGAGGAGACCTCACGACACTGGCAGGATTACTGAGAATTCGTGGAGAGGAGAGGAAAGGAAAGGATCAAATGGAAAGATGTGAGTCACCCACTAAAACATCCCAGAGAGTCTGGGTCCAGGTTTCATGTTTTTTAACTTGATTTGGGTTTTATTTGCTCTCCTTACACTTGGCCATCATGTGGAGAGACATGCTCATCCTAAAGTGAAGGCAGTATGAAGTCATGGATCATCTTTCAGAGAGACAGGGCAGAGTGTTCAGGACTGACTGAGCATGGAGACTGCAGATTCCTCAAGTTCCCCCTGCCCTGTCCAATGTATTTTCCAACAGAACTGTGTTTATACTCAGCAAATCCTTAAAGGAAAAGTACCAAGCCCTCAGCTGAATTGAGCAGGCTGGTGGAAGGTGTCATCTCATCTGAAGAAGTGGGTTTTGACTACGAAAGCTCATGATACTATATGTGTATTTCTATTGGTCTCTAAGTGCACATCTACACAGCAGGGCAAAAGTCAAGTTAAGCGACGCAACTTCAGCTATGTCAATTGTGTTTCTGAAATTGAAGTAGCTTAATTCAGCTTTTGGCGCTGTCTACACAGCAGGAAGTCAAAGGAAGAACACCATTCCTTCGACTTTCCTTACTCCTCATGAAATGAGGGTTACAGGAGTCAGAGTAAGAAGTCCTCCAGCTCGCCATTATTTTGAAATAACGGCTTGCTGTGTAGACATGCTCTTTGTTATTTTGGAATGACATCAGTTATTCTGAAATAATGCTGCCATGTAGACATAGCCTAAGGTGCTACTCATTGTGTTTAAAAGTTATGATAAAGGTAGTTCAGTTATGAGAATAACAGAAACGGCACAACAAATACTGAGTTTTGGAACAGAATAGATGGTGGGGATTGTGCTGTAGGACCAACTTGCCAGCAAATGGGCTAAAATGGGAATTTCTCCATCTTCCAAATCTGGTTTTCACCTCAGCTATATCTGTAATTTACAGCGCTGCAAAAGAAATTCCAGCCATGCTTTTGCTGTCTACCCTCCTATTGCCTGGGCTTCCAGTCTAACAAGGCCTATAGCTGAGCCATGCTGCACAGGGTCGGATGAATCTCAGGGGCTCATATTGGAGTTCATTAAGGCTGGAATTTCACTTACCTGGGGTTTATTTTCTTTATTTTGCTTGTTTTGGGGTGTTTTTTTACAGCATGGACCTGGCTTGAACCATAATATTTTAACTTAGGGTTTTTTAAAATTTTAATTTCCTTTACCACTTTATCTTTGTTTTCATGGCATCATTAAAAAGAAAAGAAAATAGTAATGAAACAGGAAAAAAAATCCAATTATATTATATTGGGTCCATGGTTTGGGATGGAAATGCTAAAAGGCACTTAGCTTTAGTGACATAAGCTAGCAATATTATACACTTGTACCTCATAGATTAACAGTTCCACTTACCGGAAATCCAGGAAAACCTCTCGTTCCAGGCTGTCCCTGAGAAGAATAAAATGGAGACAGAGCAGTTTAAAGAAATTTGAGAGCAGTGCAACATGTCTTCCTAAAATTGCTCAGTAGGGCCTCAGGGTCTGTTATTTTCTCCAACCTGTTCTCTATGTAATATCACTGCAGTTCTCAATATGGTCACCCAAGACTCTGGTGTGTTTTAAGAAAGCAGGCTACTGGGGAGCCAGAGGAAGTCTCCAATCACAACTTCATTTTGTACAGAGCCAGGACAGTGTTGGAGATGGTCCAGTTTGGACTCTGAGTACTTTGTCTGAAGTTTCTAAAGTAATTAAATGGGCGTTCCTAGCTCCCACACTGGCCTTCTGGAGCATTTTCCAGCGTCTAAGCTCTCTTTATGAAAATTCCTCGCATAGTCACATACACAGCCATAAAATGAGGTGTTTAATACTAAGTGATGTGTAGTGCAATGTGCAAACCCTCACAGCTCACCAAGTCTACAGCATCAACACCAACTCCAAGCTATGGCTCCAGTCCGTTAATTTTACCCACAAAGAAAATTTTCTAGCAGAGATTCTCCAAAATAAAAAGGAATTCAGTGTAAAGTGAATGGGTGAGGTAAGTAAGCCCTTCCCCTGTCTTCTTCCAGTAGTCAGTTTTTGACTGTCAGGGCAAGATCTGATTCAAACGAAATGCGGCAAGTATTGGCAGAGCATACAATGGCGTGTCTGTCAGACTACTTGTCAGAGACTCAACCACATGCAGACAATTAGAGGGTGAAATGCTCATGGCTGCTTGTTTGCAAAACACTAAGTGCGAGAGCACAGATCTCCTGCGAGTCCTATTTATTTAAGGATATCTTACTCCAGATTTAGTTAGCAATGTGTGGGACATCTTGGAAAGGAAAACAAATTTCAGCCTGACCCTGAAATTAAGCCATATAGGTGAAAATAGTAGGGTGAAGTCAATTCTGTGACACCTTCTTTTTCTCTGACCCCCTGAAATCCATTTTGCAGTGTCACTAGGTCTAGTTCTCTCTGCTGAGCTAACTATTCTGTTCAGACCTTGTGCTTTCTGGGGCTTCCCAAGGGTCTGATATGGGTGGGTTGGGAAAGGGAAATACCTTCTGGGGCAGTTTTAACTTGGGGAAGTCCCTAAGCATATGTTGGGGCTGCATATATATTATGACCAGACTTTTGACCCTCACAGTGGAATATCGGTGAAAGTTCAGGGCTGTTCAGCAGCTGAGACAAATAACTTGGGAGCTGGGTGAAAGTTCAGAATGGGAGGGGAAAAGTTGGGAGGTCAGGCAAAGGATCTGGTAGGGTAGGAAGAAAAAGGGAAAGCAGAGGCGCAGGGAGTCTTGGATAAGGGAAAGAAAGTTCATGATTTTGATGGGGCTCTTCTGAAACTGTGAACCTGAGTGGTCTCTGAATTTATCCACCACTGTATTTAACAGTCTTGTGTAGTAGCAAGGGATTTGCTCACCAGACACTGTGCAGTACTGTGGAATTAAGCCCTATAGACTGTAGGAAGCAGGGAATAGCCACAATACTTCAGTGCCCAGCCTTGTCTCTTTCCTCCTTTGGCTCACCCTGACGTGCTGGGGACTAGGAAAAGAGCCAGATTAGAGCCCCTTTGGCAGTAGAAGGAGCCTTTACCCGGGGTATTCCACACAGAACACTGTCACCTCTTTACAGCCCCTTTCACCTCTGGAGAGACATAATGGGGCCTTGACACAATATAGAGTTGGGTCCAAAATCTTTTTTGCAGAGCCCTAGAGTATTGCATTGGCTATAAAATGTTTCAAATTGCACCAAACAGTAATGTTGCTATTCAGAATGCTAGCATGACTGACTCATTCACATTGTTTTTTTAAGCGTTGCTAAGTTGAATTTGGTCATACTTGTTTTGCAGGATGCATATAAAACCACCTGGATCCGTTGGCTTGTGATCAGGGGAGAAGATATGCTATAAATGTAAAGATCCAGCCAATGCTGATTTCCAAAATGGCAAGAACTGAGAGGATCCCTCTAATAAATCATTAATTTTATTCCCATTTGGACCACTCTCGTAGACAAGATGTGCTAAGAAAAGAATCAAGGAGGAAACCCGGAAATGGTGCAACCTGACCTTGGTTATCCTTAATGTACACTGTAAACTGCTTCTTTTTATTCCTCGGCAAAAGTGTTGTGTGCACGGTAACAGGCCAAAGCAAAAGTTGACCAACTAAAGATTCCAAGAAACATTTTTTTCCTTCTCTTATTCAAATATTGTTCATATCAAGTATATAGTTCTGGGACTGGAAAATCATAGAGATTGTCTGTTTCTGCCACTATTAGCACAATGCTGCTTTCTGGCCAGAATGCCTGAAGAGAAGTGAAACAGCAGAAAACTCTAGAAGTGAAAACTTGAACCTCCTCTTTCCTCTAAAAGAAAATCTGGAAACAATTTGTCATTGCACCTCTTTCCAAAGTGGCCTCAAAGTCCAGCATTTGCTTATTTATCTTTGGCTTCAGGTAATACCTTAATGCTCCCTGAAATAATCTTTTCAACAGACTTCAGGGGTGAAAGAAGTGAATTTTGCCAAGACTAGCTTGTGAAGTTCTGGGGTACAATCTGCACCAGTAAGGGGCTCTCTCATAGACTTATTAACTGTAAGGTCAGTAGGCATCATGATGACTCTCTAGTCTGATCTGCACATTACAGACCACAGAATCTCACCCACCCACTCCTGTAATAGACCCATAACCTCTGCCTGAGCTACTGGTCTGCAAACCATGGTTTAAAGACTTCAAGTTATAAAAATGCTACCTTCCTCTGCAGCATTGGGCATGGATCACTGGGGGGGGAGGGGGGGGAGAGAGAACCTAATGTGTTTTTGCCCCTCGCTTTTATAGTCCATTCCCCCTTTTGAAATGCATTTTTCTGAGGGTTACCCCTACATAAAGTTCAATCCAGCTTTGAGGAAAGAGACAAGGAATCTTGTGGTAAAAGAGGATCCATGTTGTTTTTTGTTGGAAAACTGGAGTTTCTAAAGCGATGCAAAGAACTGACAGCTTTTTGGATAACATTGTACATTTGCGGTGCTAGGGAAAGCTAGAAGTATGAGCTTCAATTTGAGGTTAACCTAGAATTTGGGATGCATGAAAGTTCTAAATCTGGACTTGTTCTAGGACACTAAGTCCCCGGTTCTTCTAGGAACTTCATGTGGATGGACTCTGCACCTGCATACAACTCTTTGCAGGATCATGACCTGATACTCCCCAGCCCAACATACCTCTCTAAGGCCTCTTCTCTACTCCCTAATTAGAACAAGTCTTTATTAAAACAAGCCATCTGTTCTCTGAACTCTTCAGAGAGAAGCCTCAGCTCTCTGTTAATTGACAGTAGTACACTTGTTATTGATGAACTGGCTGAGCAGAACACTTTAGATCTGAGGATAAGAAATTCAATTTTTCAAGCAAGTTCCTAAATTGCCCATTTTTGTTATCTCCAGCAGCCCGATTTGTCCTACCTTAATCCTAGACATGTTGTTCTGTAAAGATGGAGCAATGTCATCTGCCTATTAGACGGATTGCAAAGAACACTCAGCCCAAAGTGCAGGACGTACTCACAGTAAGGCAGCAGTCCTGCTGCTAAGAGGTGGAATTATTTCTCTTCCTTTTTAAACACAGGAGAAAAAAATGACTGGAAAAACCTACATGGTTTCCTTGCTAGGAACTAGATGCTCATTAGTTCTAGCAATAGGGGCTGTAATTTCATTATATATAGTAAACAATATTTGTATGAAAACAAGCCTGGCCAAACAGGAAAACCACGTCATATAGTGTTACTGCTCCTCTGGAAATGCTGTTGCTGACTTGGTACCTCTCCCTGAGTCATTTTTGGTAATTCACCCACACCCTGCATCATACAAAAATAGAGAGAAAATCACTTACAGGAGGGCCTCGGGGACCGATGATGGACATGCCTGCTTCTCCTGGGGCTCCCTGCAGAAACAGAGAAGGAGAGAGACAGAAAAGGTGTGAGAAAAGGCAGGTTTAAAAGGAAAACAACTGGAAGGCAAAGAAGCAAAAGAAGGAAAGAGAAATAGGAAGACAAAGAAAGAGAGAGAGATGTGTAAGAATTAGTGCGAAAACAAAAGACAGAGGAAAAAGTGAGAGGAAGGCAAGAACAAGGGTGGATAATGAATCAGTAGAGGGTAGAAAAGAGTCATGAGATAATGAGGAGGAGGAAGAAAGACAGTTAAGGAAAGGAGATCAAAATAATCAATATTCACATTCTCTGTAGATACATATTTAAATTGTGATTGCTCAAAGCCCCAGATAAGAAACATCCGTGTCCTTTCTTGATTATGAGAAGAGGCCATTTTAAAGAGTCCTGTCTTCCTTATGTGTATCGCTAAGGCTGTGTCTAGACTACATCCCTTTCTCGAAAAAGGGATGTAAATTCGACACTTCAAAATTGCAAATGAAGCTGAGATTTAAATTTCCCGTGCTTCATTTGCATAACGGAGGCCGCGGTTTTTTTCGACATGGGGCTTTTCGATAGAAAAATGGCAGTTTAGACGAGGATCTTTCAAAAATAAAACCCTTTTTTGAAAGATCCTGTACCCTTCAAAAAATGAGGTTTACAGGATCTTTCAAAAAACGGTTTTATTTTTGAAACATCCCTGTCTAAACAGCAGTTTTTCTATTGACATCCCTGTCTAAACAGCAGTGTTTCTATTGAAAAACTGTGCGCCGAAAAAAACCGCGGCCACCATTATGCAAATGTAGTATGGGAAGTTTAAATACCGGCTTCATTTGCAATTTTGAAGAGAAGTTTAAATACTGGCTTAATTTGCAATTTTGAAGTGTCTAATTTACATCCCTTTTTCAAGAAAAGGGATGTAGTTTAGACACACCCTAAGAGACCTTTGGAAGAGGAATATGAGACCTCATCTCATTCCTGCATATTCCCCGTGCCCTGGAAGTATGCATTTGCCTCCCCTCTATTTGATCACTCTTGTTCAGCTTGAAGCGTCTCCTGCACTAGTCTAGCGACTGAAGGCATAAGCGACTCAAGGAGGCATAAACCAGGAGTAAAACTATGCATTTGTATAAGGGAACATTGTGATGCTCAGCAAGGAAAATTATAGACACATAAAATATAAAATACTTTTGGGTAATATACAATATAGTGGCTTGCTGATCTCTTGTGATCCTGTGACACTTTAAGTAAGAGCTGTGGTATTATCCCTGAAATCCTTGGTAAACTCTAATTCAGATCATGACATTCTGCTTCCTTAAATTTCCTTTGTGAAATTGAATTGAGGATAGTGATGTTCACTTCCTTTTTCAGTCTATTGCTGTGTGCTTTTTAGACATCTTTTACATCTCACCCCAGATGTATCTGCATTTCAATGGCAACTATATACCCCCCAAACACGTCTGTATCAAGTTTATGAAGAGCTCAGGGAGCCTTTGGAGTGAAAGGTACAGTGTAACAGACATAAGATCGCTATTAGGATGGAATAGTCTCTTGAGGTCAGTTGGGAAAGCACCATCACTGGAAATATTAAAATATTGGCTGGTTAACATAGCTCTGCATATACATTGGAGACTATACTGTATATTATTGGGCAGGGCAAGGAGAAAGAGAGAGACTGCATAAGCCACAAGGTCTTTTTCAAAACTTTGATTTTATGAATGGATCAAATGAGATTTAGTGACCAGATTGGAATTTGAAAGGTTAGGCCCACAGAAAACTAGGTAATTCCCTGTAGAAGGTGCTTGATGTACTGTGCACAGAAATAAGTGTCATGGTCAAACACGATTTCTAAAATAATTAGGAACTGAGACAAAATGTTATGTTTAATCATTTATTGTATGCAACTATCGACATTTGTGGTTCAGCCAGGAGCCCAGGATCTGAGACCTTCTCCACTCATGGGCTCTCGGATCCCAGGCTCCAACGTGAACCTGAATATCTCCACTGCAATTTTATAGCCCCACAGCTTGAGCGCTGCAAATCTGGGTCAGCGGCCCCAGGCCAACTGGAGGTGTTTTATAGCAGTGCAGATACACCTTTTGGTCAAATTCTCAAAGGAGTCTGAATCCAGCCTCCATTTTATGTGCACACAACCTTGCACATGCAAATCATTTGATTGTACAATTTTTGTGCACTATTGCACAAATGTCAGAGGGATACAGGTGCTGTACCAAAAACACACGACTCTAACATGTGAGCCCAAGGAGTAACTCTGCCAGCTGATTGTAGCCACAGGCTCTGATCCCTTTATGGGAGTTACCTTGTAGAGGGGGATGTGATGTGCTGAACCAGCAGCATGTTACATGCTCATAAATACAAGAAAGAACATTGGCTCAGTCCTCTGCTGTCCCAACCACACACCTCTCTTAGTACTGGCACTGGCTTGGGAAGAGGTGTGTGTAGTTGAATTGGCCTCCAGTGCAATTTAAAGCTGCCATAGAGTTTCTCTAGCTTGCACCTGCTATTGGGACAGATCTGCCAGCCAAAGATCACTGGAATGCTGTGCAATCTAGTCATTTCCCTACTCCCACCCCTTTAAAATATCTTCACCTTTCCTTCTTTCTAATGCATTCACTACAGATGAAGGATGTGCTGCTATGGAAACTTTTCCTTAACACAAGATACTTTCTGTGGTCAAAAGCAGGGATAGGCCCCTCAGTTTTCCTCAGTTAAAAGCAAAAGAAATGGGTTAACTGAGTGTTTTGGGGAAGAATATTGTAACTACCAATCCATAAAGAAAATAAGAGAGAAACTGAGTGAAGAAATCAAGAATAAAAAATAGGGAACTTTGGGCAGTTTAGAGGCATCTATGATCTGCCAGAGACCAGGGATTGGAAAATCCCTGTTTGTAGCTATTTACAAAAGGAATTCATTTTGAATTAAGGAAAAAAAAAAACAGTAAAGTTCTTCCTGGAAAAATAAAAACCATCAAAGATTCATGGTAAAGTCATGTGATTGGCAGACTATCTCAATGTGCTTTATAGGACATAATACATGATTGATAGGTACAGATGATAGATTCCATGCTCAGAAGTGACCATTGTGATTATCTATTCTCACCTCCTGTATAACACAACTCCTAGAACTTCCCCTAAATACTTCCTGCAGCAGATGCTTTAGAAAAATGTCCAATCTTGATTTACCTAGAGATGGGGAATCCCTCATGGCCTTTGGTTAGTTGTTCCAATGGTTAATTTCTCGTTGTTAAAAATGTATGCCTTATTTCCAGTCTTAATTTGTCTGGCTTCAACGTTAGAACGTTATAGCTTTCACAACTAGACTGAAGAGCTCATTATTGAATATTTGTTCCTCATGTGGGTATGTATAGACAGCAATCAAATCATCACATAACCTCTTTTTTTGAAGCTTAGTAGTCAATCTCCTTCAGTCCATCATGATAGGCAGATTTTCTAATGCTTTAATCACCCCCATGGCTCTACAACTGAACCCTCTGCATTTGATCAACATCTTTCTTGAAATGTGAACCCCAGAACTGGGTACACTATTCGGCTACGTCTACACTGGCATGATTTTCTGGAAATGCTTTTAACGGAAAACTTTTCCGTTAAAAGCATTTTCAGAAAAGAGCGTCTAGATTGGCACGGACGCTTTTCTACAAAAGCACTTTTTGCGAAAAAGCGTCCGTGCCAATCTAGACGCTCTTTTCTGAAAATGCTTTTAACGGAAAACTTTTCCGTTAAAAGCATTTTCAGAAAAGAGCGTCTAGATTGGCACGGACGCTTTTCTACAAAAGCACTTTTTGCGAAAAAGCGTCCGTGCCAATCTAGACGCTCTTTTCTGAAAATGCTTTTAACGGAAAACTTTTCCGTTAAAAGCATTTTCAGAAAAGAGCGTCTAGATTGGCACGGACGCTTTTCTACAAAAGCACTTTTTGCGAAAAAGCGTCCGTGCCAATCTAGACGCTCTTTTCTGAAAATGCTTTTAACGGAAAAGTTTTCCATTAAAAGCATTTTCGGAAAAGCGCATCTAAATTGGCAGGACGCTTTTCCGGAAAAGCAGCTGATGTTCTGGAATAACTTGCCAGGGTAGACACAGCCTTCCAGTTGCTGTTGTGTTAGTATAAAATGAAGCGGTAAAATACCCTTTCTACTCCTACTTGAGCTTCACATGTATATGCATCCAAAGATTGGGATTAGCTTTTTTAGCCACTGCATCACATTGGGAGTTCATGTTAAATTGATTATTCAGCACAACCCCCAAATCTTTTTCAGAAGCAATGTTCCCTGGCATAAAGTTCCCCACCATGTAAGTGTGGTTGTTTACCACTTCCCCAATTTATGTATTATCTGCAAACTTTATCACTGATGAGCTGAAGTTTTCTTTCAGCTAATTAATACAAATGTTAAATAGGTCTGGGCCAAGAAGTAATCCCCACGGGACCTCACTATCAATACATCAATTCAGTGATGATTTGCTATTTACAGTTACATTTTGAAACATACTAATGAGTGCTCTGTTAATTTTATATTGCTCTAGTTTTTTAATCAAAATGTCATGTGGTAACAAATCAAATGCCTTACAGAAGTCAAGTATATTATGTCAGTGCTGCTACCTTTATCAGACAACTTATTATCTCACTAAAATGAGAGCTTGACAGGATCTATTTTCCATGAAGCTTATTGGCACTAATTATATTACCCTTATTAATCAAGTCTTGTATCAACTGCTCCATAATCTTCCCAAGAATTGATGTGTGATTGACAGGTCTATGATTACATTGGTCGTCCCGTTTACTCTTGTTAAATATTGTCCCACCATCAGCTTTCTTCCAGTCTTCTACAACCATCCCACCCCATCTTCTAAAACTTATTGAAAAATCAATATTAATGGTCCAATGATCTTGTCAACTCTTGGATGGAAGTTATCTGGATTTGCTTATTTAAAAATGTTAATCTTTTGTAGCTTCTGTTAAACGTCCTCCTGAGGTACTACTTGTGGTTACATCATCTGTCAAGGGGACTTTGGAATCTTGGATGTTTTGATAATGCTGGTTGGCTACAAGAAGAACACAAAGAGGGTAGAAGAGGAAGTGTCCTGAAGAAGAAAAAAAAGAGAGAAGGCAAAGAAAAAGGAGAAGAACCAGAAACAAGTTTTCATTTTGCCTTGCCCTCCCTTCTTCTGGTATGTCACTGTTCTTAACAGGTTTTTCTATACTGCATTCTTTACAGATGTTTCCTCAAACAATGGAGTGAACATGTAGACATTTCATAGTTTCTGCGCATTTTGCTGTTCACTGTAGTTTTCCAATTAGTTAGATGCTGCCTGAATGAATCCAAGGAACTTCTGTCTCTCCCCTATCTTTCCCTTTTGAGTGTATGATGTAAAGGCATCTGAAGACACAAAGTGTTTCATGACAGTTATGTTATCAATATATCATATTAGTGGCTTTGTAAACCACCAGATCTTTGTAGGGACAAAAAGCCCTCATTCAATACTTTTCAAATTGTTTAGATAAATATAATTTACCTGAGCCCTGAGTAAAACAAAGTACTTCAGGGTCATTTTTCTTTAAATGGAGGTGATATAATTGAAGTAAAAAAGTGTGGGTGGATGGGGATAGTAATCTCCCTTCTGTTTCCCTGAGTGTTTTTTCACTATGTAGTTAACGCTGGAATGGAGGTGTTGAGCCACGGTGTGTGATAGGAGGAATGGTGAATAGGAGAACACATAGGAATTGGATGGACCATTAGGACATAACTGTTATATCTTACCAAATTTTCATATGCACACTTCCTGGATTTACCAGGCTCAGCTATCAGCGGTGAAGAAGCTAATGGTTAAAAACCACGAGGGCCCAGCTGGAAATAATGAGTGTGCCCATCCACTCCTGGAAGGCAGCCCTTACAATGTTAGTAAATTATAGTAAACACAAATGTCAACATCCTCAGAGGCTGTGCGGGCTGGCAGGAATTCAAGAGATGAGTTCACATTGTGAGAGGAGATGGGTGGGGCAGTTCAGAGCAAACACAATGAACGCTTTAAAGGCACAGCTCTTCAGTTGTGATCTGAGGGGAAGGGGTTTCAGGTGGCTTTAGAGGTAGCTGACGGAGGGCAGGGTATGTATGATGAGCTAGAAAGAACTGACTCACCTTCTCTCCGGGTTGCCCCTTTAGTCCCTGGGTCATTTACACCAGTCGCAGCCGCATGCAAAAGGGTGAAGGGGGGAGAGAAAGAGACACAAACACAGGATCAGTGTTAATGGCACACTAAATCCAAACACAAAACAATGCAACAAAAAACAGGTCACAGACACTGACACATGCTCTGTTTAAGCTTCACACACAAGCACAAAGACCTTTGTTTCCCAGTCTTCCACTGCCCTTGGGATCAGCTGCCTGGGTGATGTCTAAGAGGAATGGCAGCTGAGACAAGTGGCAGATGAAATTGGGTTTTCACCCAGTGTGAGAAAATCAATTCTTGATTTTAACAAGTGGTGGGGGTACTGAGGCTGTGTTAGTGGTAAGCTCGCCATAGTTAGCAAGGCTGGCTCAGAGCTCAGAGACATCAACTCACAAGTAAGTGAGGCAGCAAGAACAGACCTGACAAGGAACTCTGGCACAGCTGCCACCAGAGATTATAGTCCCACGTGGGATTAGCCGTCATGGTCAGAAGAGTAGTTGAAGATGGATTTAGCCAACTGTCCATCCACACTGGCCAAGTGGCTGGAGTTCCTGGTCAGCCGTTCAGTGTTTGAGACAGGAGGGTCATTAAGGAGGAGCGGAGGAGGATAAATGGATGAATGTGCTGGGAAGAAGGTATCTCACTGAATGGGAGGGTGGGTTAGGGAAAATACACTTAATTGAAAGTCTTCATTACTGAAACAATAGTAAAATATTGATTTTTTTCTCTCCTCTTTCTCTTCTATCTGACTCAAACAGGGGGATTAGATGTAATTAGCTATAATTGATTTTTTTTCTCTTCTATCTGGCTATGTGAGATATGTAGGTTAAATGTGCAAGATAAATTTAAGTCTTACATATTCAAATATGTTTAATTTATTAAATTGCTCCACCTAGGTTAATTATAATTAAAACAGGCATTTTTTATGGTAGGCCCCTTTTCTCCCACCCTTATTCACACTGTGGATTGGCCTATTACATGTGCAGTCTCACTGATTTCAGTGCAACTACTCACAAAGTAAGGCTTCACTTAGAATAAGAACAGAAAAGCCGAGTCTTTAATTAAAAGAGAGTGTAGACTTTAAAGAGGGTTCATCTGGAAGTCCTGTGGTTAGTGATATAAGTTCCCACCAAAAGTCTGAGGTTTGATTACTAGCTTGTCTTTAACTTCAGAGAGAAAAATATAACAGCCTTGGGTGCTATGGTTTTTCTTCAGAGCCAGCTTCCTCCGCCTCTCAGAGAGGAGGGATTGCCTCACTGATTTGTGACAGTTACTCTGGCCTCCTAGCAGGGTCTAAGGGCCGTTTTACTCAGTCCTCTTCTTCTAGCACATATAAATAAGCAGAAAATGAGAAAGACACCATATAGATTTCTGTCTGCCTTCCATCTGTGGCTAAAGCAGTTATCACCATGGACTGTAATACTCTGTGTTATAGTCTGTTGTGTCACATTAGTGAAAGCAGCAGTTACTTCCCAAATAATGTTGTCAGAGTGACACACTATCAAACCTGAAGGGCATCATGAACAAGTACTAGCATTGCTTGAATCATCCTGAGTATGGTAATACAATGATACTGAAAGTGACTATCCCTCTCATGCATAGCAGGCTTCAGTATCAATGAGGCATTGGGGGGAGACCTCTGTGATACTGGAGAGAAAAAGTCACCTAAAGATATCCCTAAAACGTAGCACATAACATGTAAAATGGAGCCCTCTCACACTGTGAGCTTAACTGGACTCAAATCTGAACTACACTGCCTCATAAGTTTTATAAAAATCACACCGCCCAAAGTTCTGCTCACCCTACCTGTAGAATTTACTAACACTTTTTCTATATTGTTTCCATCATTGCTGATAGCAGTGAGTGGCTGACTATGTTACCAATATTTGTAAGTGCTTCAAAAGAGTCGTCTAATGCCAAGAATTGCTAACTGTTAATAAGACATGCTGGTATTTGTATGTAAAAAGAAAACCTTCTTGCTAATCAGCTTCCATGACAAACACTGTGAGTCAGATCCTGGTGTAAATTGGTGTAGCTCCATTACTTTCAATGAACTTGCACTGATTTACCCTAAAGGAAGATTTGGCCCAGGGTGTGTAATCTCTTATTATGATCACTTTAGCCACTCTATATTACAGCTCCCTGTGAAGTTGCAGGCATCAAACCCAGACATGTCTCACTCATCCACACACAGCCCTCTGAAAGATGTTTAAAGATGCAAAATGTTTGGGAGAAGGTATGCAAGCGGGAACTCAGAAGAACTTAGCTGTGGCCAGCTGAACTGTTGGAAACTGGCAAGGAGCGAAGGCAGCTGGCAACAGTTTTTCTCGCTGGGTATGGCTAAACTACAAGTTTTTGTCGGAAAAAGGTATGAAAAATGTGCTTTGTATTTTGCGTACCTTTTTCCGATTCTTTTGTTGGAAGAGGCTTTTCTGACATTTGGCCCATCTAGATTGGGCCAAATGTCAGAAAAAAACCCTCTTTCAAAAGCCCCCTTCTTCCTTGTAGAACAAGGAATACAGGGACTTTCGAAAGAGCGCGTAAAAGCAGAAGAACAAACTCATTCCCTGGACGTGGCGGAGCTTTTTCGGGATACCTTCAGTATCCTCAACCCTCCCCCCTCCTCCCCACAGTCTAGCCATACCCTTTGAAATGTAGGGTTGCCATACAGCAGGTTTCTCAGCCAGAGAAAAGCATAAGAATTTCAGTGTGAACTTAGTGGAATGACATGTCATCTCCCCAAGGCTGTTATGTTACTCTCTTGGGAAAGACATCAATATGTATGGGGAGTAAAGAGAACAACTCGATGAAGAGAGAGCACAGGGAACCAAAAGCAAAGTGTTTGCGGTGCTGATGTGATGCTGTTTGACATGCACTGCCCAGCTCTTCTTCAAAGTTTCACTGTTGTTTTAAATATGCACTGTATGGCAGGAGGACCAAATTGGAGCCAATGTGCTAAACAGACATTGTACATTCATAGGCCGAAAAAAAGTTACCAATGTCATTTGAACTACAATCACTTTGAGCAGATAGATCTGAAGGGGGAGCTTGTCTCTCCTCTATCTTCTGAGGCACAACGGCAAGTGCATTGCAGGCAGCAAGAAACCACTGGCAGCCCACTGCTTGGCACCACTAAAATGCATGGTGCTGCAGGAAGCATTCTCAGAATATAGCCAGGGCTCCTTCTCAGAAGTCCTGTTGGGATTTGGTTTCTGAATGGAAATGTCTCAGATAAAATCCCCCAATAGACTTACCAATGATTGGTGCTTCCATTTTCAGAATGGAGCCTGAAAATGATAGAATCTGCAGCCTAGAATTTCTAAACCTGGAAGCAGATCTGAGTAGCAGTTCACTCAGCTTCATTCATGAGCGAAGCTGCTGCTTCTTCTCTAGTTGTACCCAAACCAAACCCTAAAATGGAGCAAGGAGCTCCATTTCCTGAAATAATGAAAGTATCACCCTAAACAATCCACAGACACCCGAGCTTTTGGAAAAACATGTGTCAGTCAGGTCAGGCAGATGCAAGAGGTTGTAACTCACCGGTCTTCCAGGGATTCCCAAGGCGCCTTTGTCTCCCTAACAATTAATGCAAAATCAGACGGCAGTTGGAAACTGACCATAAACAAGGCTACAAAATGACACAAATTAGATGTCAGATGTAGACATGTGTGCACCTTTAATTATTATTTGACTGAGAGGTATGGTAGGTGCACATATGTTGACACATGGCATAAACATATATTTAAAGCATGCTCACGTGTTTGTATGTATCCTTGGACTTATGTGTAAGTATGTGGGTGTGTATATGTCTGTTAGCAATCAGTATAACTCTTTGCTATATAGGTAAAGGAACCAACAAAGCACACTCAAGTCAGAGAGGAAGAAAAAAAGGTAAAAATCTGTGATCCAACTACTCGTCTAATCACAATTTGTTAACACTTTCCATCATCCATTTTATGGGAAACTGCTCACTTCAGTACAAAATTACCACACTTTTCTTCCTTTCCAAGGAAATTTCAATTGTAGCCATTTATTTACAAAGCTGGTATCACTTAAGACAGAACTCTCGGGGTATGTCTACACTGCAATGTTATTTCAGGATATAGCTATCCCACGTCTTCACAGCAAGCCCGTTATTTTGGGCTCGCTATTCCCAATATCCCTGTAAACCTCATTCTACGAGGAGGAAGGGATGTTTCAGAGTACACTTTATTTTGAAATTTGACGCTGTGTAGACAGTGCCAAATGACAAAATGAGCCATTTTGAAATAGCATCGAAATAAGATACGTAATTTGAGTAGCTCAAATTGCATATCTTATTTTGATTTACGGTGCTGTGTAACTGCACCCTCAGAGACCATGAACAGGTCCACATTTTCCAGTAGTTCAGAAAAGAGAAAGTTACACTAATGTGAATAATAAGCTAACACAGGAAATGTCATGTCTAGCATAATGTATATTAATGACTGTGTTCTATGTCCCTTAACCCTTTGAGAATGCTGCCTAATGCATCTTTAGGGTGTGAAAATCATTAAGTGAGGTTTCATGAATGTGCATGCCTCAGAATATATGAGACAATGCTTGAACCAAATGGCAAAGACACATGGACACAAGGCAATTGGCATATTATTAGTTTTGAGTCTTAATGTATATTTAAATTTGACTATAGAATTTTTTAAAAAAACCCTCTGTGTTCTTGGTCACAAAAAGTGAATTCTCTAAAGACTTAGAGGTCAGTATGCTGATGCCGTGAAGTTATAGATCTACTTAACTATTTGTGAATTTATCTGCACATTTTGCAAAAATGACATTGTAAAATCTCTTCAGTATTGTTTCTGATCATCAGTTTGATTTTTTTTCTAGCTTTTACTATGAAAAAATAATCAATGTTTCTTTTGTACCTTCTCATATATTTTCCCCTGTAATACTGTTTTCTACAGCACCCCACAAAAATAGACAACGTAGGAGGCTGGAAAACAACCCTAACTGTATCACCTACATGAAATATTTGACCCTCTTCTGTCTTTATCCCTTTAATCATGGCAATAGGCCAGAACCTCAAAGCTGTGTCCATTAGTGATCAGTAGGAGTTAGGGATATATACTATACTAATAGACAGGGAATTCTGGTGAGGAAAATAATCTTTGATGTTGGTAAATGTTCAGAAATGCTCTTTTTTCCCCTAGCACTGTCTGTAATCAAATGAGAATATACAACAATATAGGTTGAACCTCTCTAATCTGGACTAGCCTATTCTGTCAATGCCCCTAGTCTGACATCATTGGCAACCACATGGGCACTTGAGGACTGGAGCATTGACAGGGAAAAACTGGCAGGCCAGGGTCAGGTGTGTTGGTGGACTAGGGAAGAACAGAGCCAAAGAGTGGAGCTCCTGTTTCCCAGCAGGCCAGAGCAGAAAAGCCTGATGGGGACAGAGCAGCAGAGCCCCACGGTGGCTGGAACCCAGGAATAGAGGGGCAAGTATTGACCTCCCCTGCTCTAGCAAATTCCCTGGTTTGGGATCGGTCAAATCCGAAGGGCACCAGACCAGGGAGGTTCAACCTGTACTTTGCTCTGTAGCCTGCTTAAATCCGAAGGGCACCAGATCAGGGAGGTTCAACCTGTACTTTGCTCTGTAGCCTGCTTACACGCCCTGCTATCCAGTGATGCAAAGAGCAGTTCCAAAAAAAGGCAAAATGGAGACAACTGCCTTGAAATCTGGGGAGTGAACCGTTGATATCTCTCCCTTCAAGGAATGCACTTTGCTGCCAATGTTGCTCCGTAACCTGTCCTTGCTGCCTGTCTGAGGGACCGTTGATATCTCTCCCTTCAAGGAACACACTTTGCTGCCAGTGTTGCTCCGTAACCTGTCCTTGCTGCCTGTCTGAGGCACGTAGTAATGCTTCAGATCAGTGTTTCAGAAAGTGTAATGTGGGAACACTTTCAGAAACACTTTAACTGGCTGCCCCAGTTTGTTTATGTACTGGCGCCGCGGCCACGGAGCCTTGCAGCTCTCATTGGCTCCCTTTCATCCTTTGCAGCCAAGGGGAGCCATGGGAAGCAGCGTGGGCCAGGCCACCGTTTCCTGTGGCTCCCACTGGCTGCAAAGGATGAAACAGAGCCAATGGGAGCTACGAGGCTCCTTAGCCATGGCACATAAACAAACCAGAGTAGCCAGTTAAAGTGTTTCTGAAAGTGTTTTCGTGGTACCCTTTCAGAAACACCGCTTTAGATTAATGGCCTACACACACTTCACTATGCACAACATTTAAATGCAATGGGGTAAAAAGTATTTAGAGGTTTAACAAATCCATAGTTACAGACAAGTACTGTTTTGTGATCCAGGAGCACTTCTTTCACATGTAAGTTTTGATAAATCAAAAAGTCACATCTCTGTGGCCACAGTTGTACTTCACATGATTTACACTGGCAGTTCGATTAAATGTGCATAGATGGTATATGACTGCAAAGGAAAAGGAGACAAGATCTATTCTTTTTTATCCCTTTCTGCTTTTTATACTGCACCCATCAATATGTTATTTGATCTATCTCTTTATCTCTGTGTCTAGGTGCTGTGCGTTGTTTATTCAGAAAACAATGGAATTTTTCCATAAGGGACAGGAAATTCATTGTCTTTGATTTCTTGGCTTCTGATTGGGAGCTTACTGCTGAGTTTTCTTGTTCTTTAACTTGAACATTGCTTTTCTCTACAGCTGAGCTTGGCAACTTGTTATGAAGATGACAAGGGTCAAACTCTCATGATCTGTAGTGAAAGCGTGATTCAGATTTTTGGATCTGTTGAGAAACTCTTCCTGGCTGTGCTCTGATTGGTATTTGACCACACAATGACTGATAGTGTATAGGACTGAGCTGTGTCTGGTGTTAGTCTGCACAGTGAGACTGATACAATATGTGATGTCAAAACGACATGTACCTCATCATGAAATGATGTATGAGTCCACCGTGTCTGGTATTTAACTACACAGTATTTGGGATCTTCTAAACAATACTAGCAGGGGGGAAATCATCTCAGTAGTATAGCAAATAAATGCCAGATGTTTATGAGAAAGACTTGTCTATGATGTGAAGCCAGGAAATACACTGTATCGTGGATAACAGTTATGTCCTGCACTGTATGCTAGCATTGTATTCATAGCTCCACTGCTTGCCAGCCTGTTGTTTTTCTGAAGTGGCTATCGTGTTAGTATCCAAGCACCAAACAACAGTTATGAAGAAGGTTTGAGTGGTCTTAAAAGATTTTTTACTTTCTCCTTCCCTCAGGCAGTGGGTGGATTTTTTTTTCTTTTTGCAGAAGTCGTTGCTGAGGAGACTTCATCCAAAGGTGGCGTATGTTGGGATCAGGTGATGGGCAGAGTGTGGCTTGGTCTGATCTCCTCTGGCAAAGAGTTTCATACCTAGGTCCTATTGCTGAGAGTGTTCTATTCCCTGAACATGAAAGACTTAATCTGAGTCTCTCTCAAGTACAGGAGCCTCTCTGGCTTGGAGAATCTCTGACAGTAACTCTACTCTGAAGTAATCTAAGCCTGGATTGTAAGAGCCTTGTAAATTAGAACCAAACCATGAATGTGGATCTTAGATGAAGGGGGAGGCAGCAGTTTCACACAGCACTTTGCATCAGCTTTTACTACTTTGAGGTGAGACACTGTACTGCACCCATTGTGGCCCTTCAGATGACCACTGAATTCAGCCCCAGGTAGCATAAACAGAATAATCCAACACGAAGGCAATGAAATCAGGGGTCAAAACCTTGTCTAAGGGTGTGTCTACACTGAAGGACTTAACTTGAAATAAGCTATGCAAATTGAGCTACATCAATTGAGTATCTTATTTCAAAATAAGGAGCATCTACACAGCAGTTATTTCAAAATAAAGCACTCTTTCTCTGACTTCCCTTACTCCTCATACAATGAGAGTTACAGGAGTTGGAGTAAGAAGTCCTCTAGCTTGACAGTATTTTGACACTACTTTGAAATAAGTGCCTGCTGTGTAGATGCGGACTGAATTGTTTTGTAATAGCGCTAGTTATTTCAAAATAGTGTTGCAGTGTGTAGCCATACCCTAACAGGAGAGAGAACAGTCTCCTGGCCTACCAAATGTGGAACAAAAGAATTCATAGAATCATAGGACCATAGAGCTGGAAGAGACCTCAGAAGGTCATCAAGTCCAGCCCACTGCTCTAGGCAGGACCAATCCCAACTAAATCAACCCGGCCAGGGCTTTGTCAAGCAGAGACTTAAACACCTCTAGTGATGGAAACTCCACTACTTCCCTAGGTAACCCATTCCAGTGCTTCACCACTCTCCTAGGCTGTGTCCAGACTCAGGGGTTTTTTCGGGAAAAGTAGCCTTTTTCCGAAAAAACTTCCCCTGCGTCCAGACTCAAGCCACATTCTTTCGAAATTAAATCGAAAGAACGCGGCTTTTCTTTCGATGGCGGTAAACCTCATTTCACGAGGAAGAACGCCTTCTTTCGAAAGTTCCTCTTTCGAAAGAAGGCGTTCTTCAATGTAAATAGGGCTTCTTCGAAAGAGAGCATCCAGACTCACTGGATGATTTCTTTCGAAAAAGCAAGCCACTTTTTCGAAAGTTCAACGTGCAGTCTAGACGCTCTCTTTCGAAAGAGGCTCTTTTGAAAGTATCTTTCGAAAGAGCCTCTTTCGAAAGAGGCTTGCAGTCTAGACATAGCCCTAGTGAAATAGTTTTTCCTAATATCCAGCATGGCCCTCTCCCACTGCAACTTGAGACCATTGCTCCTTGTTCTGCCATCTGTCACTACTGAGAACAGCCTTTCTCCATCCTCTTTGGAACCTTCCTTCAGGAAGTTGAAGGCTGCTATCAAATCCCCCCCACTCTTCTCTTCTGCAGACTAAACAGACCCCTCTGTGGTATTCCTTGTCACTGTGGTAATTAGTACGCTCACGAGTAGTGAGATGTCCATCATGTCTCAAGGATCTGTACTGCTTTGACGATACAAGGCCTGCTGCCCTCAAATGACGGTGAAATTAGTGTATTTGCCTTTCCACAGGCTATATTCTTCTTTCCGTTAATAATACTTCTGTTTCACAGTGTTTGAGGTTGAGCCAACTACTCTTCATCTATCTATTGATTTCTCCCTGGGAGATGGCTCAGGGTGCCACAGTGGAGAAAATGCATTGACTCTATTCTCTAAAATCCTTATGGTTTATTCATGATTGATCTCAGCAACAGACCATTGCTCATGGCTTCATGTTCATTTGGATTAGAGTTAGTTATGGATTTACAACTCCCTGAGAAGCTGGCAGACACCATGTTGATTTAATTTAAACTAGTGAGAAAGGAACTAGTCACGTAAATAAGCTTCTGGGGCTAACAGAACCAACTGAGAACGTCAGGTTGCAGACTGGATTTTCTGTTTCAGGGGTGCTGAGAGGAAAGAGGGTGGCTGTGACCATTGAGCACTACTGCTTCCACAGGCAGGCAAAGGGGAGCTGAAGACTGGATAACACCCTATATGTTCTCTGTGCACAGTTGGAAATAAGAAGCATCTCTGGGCACATTACCTAGGCTGCCTGCCTTATACTCAATGAAATGCTAGGTCATCAATGCTGGCCCCTGTGTGGTTATGCACAGAAGCGGAGAAGGGGAAAGCTACTCTTGAGTTCTCATCCCTGACCAGAACACCTGCAAAAGGTGAAGCACGTTGCCCTCAGTCTAACTCCAAACCAGTTTGACACTGTAACACACTTTCTCTTTCTCTAGAAATCTCTCAAGAAACTAGCGGAGTGACTGGCTCTGCTGCAGCCACAAAAAAGCATGGCTTGCTCCATTTGGTGTCTGAATTTCACTTCACCCTGGCCTGACCTCTATATGTCCCTCTCACTTCCACTTCCTGTATCAGCATGGATTAAATAGATGCTTCTTGTATTCCTGTATTCCAAGCTCCTCCAGAGTTAAAATAAACAATCCAAACCACTGCAAAACCCATCCTGGTATCTGCTTGAAATAGAACCTCCAATCTTTCCTGGAAAGCCTGTAGAAGCTCAGATTCCTGTCAGTGAGAGTGCAATACAAATGTGGTTCTAAGACAGGGAAGGTGATTCATATTGGAAAGGTGATCTTAAAAGGCCACATGTTTCCCAAACACAAAAGGGTCTTATAAAGAATGTGTTTCTTGGAACACTGTCCTGCCAAGGTTCTGCTGTTCCTATCCTATTGGGATCCATATCTCATTTACAACATGTTCTTCATCTAATTTAGTTCCACCACTGGAGACCATTGCCACCTCCCTGTATACACAGCCTTGAGGCCTGCCTTTCAAACTAGTGCCAGAGAGAGAGTGAACAAAAGGGAAACAACATGGTAATAGAAAGCTTTTACCGGAAGTCCTGGTCTTCCTGTAGGGCCCTGAAATAAAACACAGAAAAGGCAAAGTTGGCACAAAATCGGGTGGGGGGGGAAGAAGCAATGATTAAAAAGGAAATAAACAGTGAGAAAACAGAGCCACTAAATCATCAGAACAGCTTTCATACTAGCCAGATTTTATTGTTACATTTTTCCAACCCATCTTCAAAGCATTATTTCTATTTGATATGTCTTTCAGTGATTCCCAAACTGGGAACTGCTAGCACAAGGAGAGTTAGCTAGTCCTGTGATTCTGAGTCTCTTCCTTGTTCCTATCCGACGATGAATAATAATTGTTCATGTACAGAGTTTCTAGAATTGCCATAGAGATACTGTATGATCAAGACTGTGAGGGGAGGTAACTGAGATGCAGTTCACACTATGAAAAAGTTTGAGAGCCTCCAGACGACATGTTTCTTTCTTTCTTTCTTTCTTTCTTTCTTTCGCTATGTCTAGACAGCAGGCTTCTTTCGAAAGAGAAATCCGCTTTTTCGAAAGAGAGCACTCAGCGAGCAGATTGCTGACTTTCAGATTACCATATCTACCTCAAAATTGTTTCAGAAATAACAGACTCTTTCAATGGAAATTCAATGAGATCAGGACCATTCTAATCCACCTGTGGTTTTAAATCTCTTCTGTTGATTCAACAGTATATGCCCAAGAACAAGTATACAAGGGAGTGTTTTCATCATTTCTGCAGCTTTGCCAATCCTGTTGACCACTGTCATGTATCAGAAATGGTTCTGCAAAAATATAGTTCCTCAGCTGGCCCTAAATCAAACAGGGTCAGAGTAGGCCCTATTTTGTTTAGCTCAGAAGCTGAAACTTCACATTTACGTTCTATGAAATGTATAATAAACAGAATTTTGGTACATCAGCATTTCTGAGTTGCTAGCTGGACTGATACATGTGAAACCAGCACTGTGGGAATCTGGTCCACAGATTATAAACTAGTTCCCATCCGTTTTATTCAGAAAAAAACATTGGGGAAAATCTTCAGCATGTAAACATCGAGTGCTTTGTTTACTTATTAAACAGTGAAGTTTATGCTTGTGATTTTTGAACTACTATCACATAAAGGCTCTTAAATTCCCATAGCATTCAATAGGTTATGGTTAGCCACAAAAAGTTCCACTTTGGTTAATTAAATTCAGTCCACCTAATTTCATCTTGTTATTTCAATGGGCTACAGAATTCTCACTTCCTGCATTTATACAGACAGGTTCAGGGGTCAGAATAAGCTGGTATGCAGTAGCACACTGTGTCATCACTTTTCTGGTGGCCCCATTTGTTTTTGCAGGATTTAAGCTTTCATTAAAATATTGAGTTTCTTGCCCTTCTTGTTGCAAAGAAAATGTGACTGTGAACTGATGCAATTCTGCCTTTGTCTCCCAATGGAGTTGTTTGAAGAAATAAATCTGGGAAAACTTTGAATTGATCCATTCATTTCACTCTAGTGCAGGCCTGGACAAAATATAACCCATGGGCCGGATCCGACCTGCCAAGCCACCGGATCTGGCCCGTGGAGGCAGCAGGGAGCCCCAGGAAGGCTCCCCGCAGACTTGCACTCTGGGCAGAAACACCGCTGCAGGGCTCCCTTTCTGATTTAAAACTGGAGGGGGGGAGAGGTTAGGAGCCACCCTGCCCCTAGCACATTCCCATTGGCCAATTTCTGGCAGAAACCGGCCAATGGGAGCTGTTTGTTGGAATAACAGGCATCTACGAACAATCACGCCCCTTCTCCTGGGCTCAGTTATTCATGAAGCACATGGCCAGGCAGGCTGGGAAACATTTTAAGCTCTGCAGGCAGGCAGGCTAGTTTGGCAGCTGGCAAGTACATCTCTTGGCCACAGCTTGCTTTTGGCACCCCAGTCCTTTCCTGCCCCAACTCTCTGGTCCTCCTCCCACACCTCAACATACCCAAACCCTCTGTTCTCTTCTTACACCTATACCTTCTCCCAGATCTGGCACCCCAATCTCCTGCCCCAGATCACAATCCCCTCCTACCATTGGTCACATCCCAAACCCCTGCACTCCAGTCCCCTGCCCTAGGTCACAACCACCTACTTCATCCCAACTCCCTCCCAGATTCCAGTCTCCCTCTTGCACCCCCGTCCCTTACCCCAAGCTCCCTTCTGCACCCAACCTCCATCCCAGACCCCGCATCTCCATTAATATCGTGGAAAAGTGTGGCCCTTGACCACTTTCCAAAATCTTGGAGTGCCTCCCCTGTCAAAAATTATTGCCCACCCCTGCTCTAGTGTAACAATAATAATGTCAATATTAGCACTATTAATCATTTCATTCCGGGTAATCTGGCAGTAATTTACAGACGCACTCGCTTTGTAGACAGAGCTTGAGTACAGTAGCACCCAAACCCATCCCCAAAATTGTGCCCTGGATAGGCTTCAGTCAAAACCACAGAACTGAAATCTGCTGAACTTTGCATCCAGAATTAATCCCTAAATATATTTATAGATTTATGATAGGACCCAATCCTGCACACCTTTGGGTAGAACTCTTACTGAAATCACTGAAAGTGTTGCACTAGAGGGCTTTCAGGATCAATATCTCAAAGGGTACATCTACACTAGCCCCTTAGTTCAAACTAGGAAGGCTAATGAGGATGACCGAAATTGCAAATGAAGCGTGGGATTTAAATATCCTGTACAGGCAGTCCCCGGGTTACATGGATCCGACTTACATCGGATCCCTACTTACAAATGGGGTGAGGCAACCCCGCACTAGCTGCTTCCCCCCAGCAGACCATGGAGACACGAAGCTAGCGCCCCCCCCCAGCAGATCAGGGAGACGCGGAGCGGCTTTTCTCAGCAGGCACCTCAGCTTGAGAATAAAGGACTGAGGGAAGTGAGGTGTGGGAGAATAAAACTGAGCTCTGGAGAAATGTTTGGCTAGAGTTTAACCTACAATATGTACCAGTTCCGACTTACACACAAATTCAACTTAAGAACAAACCTACAGTCCCTATCTTGTATGTAACCCGGGGACTGCCTGTACTTCATTAGCATGTTCCTGGGTGGTCACCATTTTGGAAACTGACTAGCCCAGAATAACTGCCCGCGTCTACACATGGCAGAGAAGCGCGATTCCGAGATAAACCCCTTAGTTCAAATTAACAGTTAAACCTCATTCCATGGATTTATTTGCAATTTCGGTCGCCCTCATTAGCCTCCCTAGTCGAACTAGGGGGCTAGTGTAGATGTACCGAAAGGGAATACAAATCTGTACCATAGCAACTAGTTCTTAAAATGTCTTCTGTAAATTGTTGTAAACCTGTAAAAGCCTTATTGCTTAAGTTATAACAAAAAATGCAGTGTTTGTGGGGTATTCCTTCAGTCTTTGCAAGGCTTTTTCTGATTGATGCCCTTCAAGGTATTTTAGCAGCAATAATGAAGTAACAGTACAAACAGTCTGGCAGTAACTGGGACATTTTTCTGAAGTCTAAGTTGTCTGAGTTGAGTTTTTGCATTTGGATAACATTTTGAAAGAAAGCTGTCTACACAGTTTTTCTTCAGAACTGATGATTACGCACATCTAGGCAACTGATTGAGTGGCAAAGAATAAGTTGCATAGGAATTCACACAACATATATTTGCACCCATTTTGGAAAAAAATACATCCAATTCAGAATATGGCATCTTATGCATGCACATTACACACTGTTATCCTCATTTTTGTATGTGAAAATAGTTGAGAGTTTTTCTAGCCCTTCATATTCACTGTTTCTACCTTATGAGCTTTCTTAATCTGATCCTGTGAGCTTTCAGAACTGTGCAAACCTATATGGGTGCATATGAGCAATCTCACTAAGGATCTGGGCCCTCTGACCGAGTACAAAGGATGTTTGCTGTTTGAGAGATTCTGGGAGACTTCAAAACCAAATTTGGGTATCACATTGGACATAGCATATGGAAGACAACTGTTACTGCTCAAGCCCCCTTTGCCCCTTTACCATCAGATGCCCACTTCGTAAATGCACTGGAGCTTTGGTACTTACAGGAGGCCCTGAAAGAAAGAAAAAGGAAAATAAACAGTGATTAGTGTTGCTATATAATAAATCCTGAAGATGAAATGTAAATGGTCACTCCTTATATTGTGCTATTTTTTGTTCTTTCTGTGGACTGGATTCTGATCTTACTTACTCTTGTTCTGCACCCAGGTAATTCTGTTGTTTTCAGTTAATTCATCCTGATTTACAACACTGAAAACAAGATCAGAATCAGATCCCAACTTTCCTTCCTTTTCTCCGGTTTCAGCCTGTCTCTCACCCATTTTCATTTCAGGTAATTGAAATTATGTGCTGTAGTGAACAATGAATTACAACTTCATGAAATCTGATTTTTAAACCCACTAAGGGAAAATACGATGAAATAAAATCAGGATGCTGCATTATTTACAGATAGATTTAAACCCCACTGATTGTGCATCTACACACCATCCTAAACTCTAAATAAGATATGCAATTTGCGCTATGCAAATTGCATATTTTATTTCCACTGAATTTCAAAGTAAGCTATTTTGAAATTTGGCATGTTTACACAGCGCCAAACTTTGAAATAACAGGCTATTTCGAGACAACCCTTAACCCTCGTGGAATGAGGCTTACCGGGATGCTGAAATAGCACACCAGTTATTTCGAAAAATATTTCAAAATAACGAGCAGCTTGTGTAAATGTGGGGTAGCTATTTGGGGATATCTGCGGTATCCTGAAATAGCTTTGCAGTGTAGCAAGTGTAGAGTATTTGGTCAGTCTCTCTTCTGGTCAGACAATCAGTATCTGCTTTTACCATAATTAAATAAATAATCCTTACTTTTAGTTTTGCTGATCACTAATCCAGGCTGGGGGTAAAATCCAGAGGTTATACGTTAGGTGGTGTGAGAGGACCTAACTCACACTAATTTATGCTCAGTAAACTCCTTGGAACCTACTCCCAGACTACTGACATGTGAGAGAGGCTAAATTTGTTTAGCTTCTACAAGAAAGAGCTTTAAGAAGATATAAGAAAGGGTAAGCCAAAATAGCTGCCTTTCTGCTTTAACCTATGCCTTCTGAGTCTTCATCATTTAAATTACATCTGTATAGAGTCCCTTGCACATTAATAGAAGGTTTAGGGGATTCTCAATGTTATGAGTTTAATATGCATCACCGTAGCCATCAGTCTTCTCTTGTCAGTCTCTTTTAATTTCTTTTATAAGGAGGAATTTCAGATTTAATACTTCCTTTTTGTCCAGCCCGTCAAGTTTAAAATCAAAAGATAAAGTCAAGGTACTCTACAGAAATGTCCTTTTCATGGAATATTGGACATACATGGGTGACCTTAAGAAGAGAGGATCTCACCTGATGAGAGAAGATGGAGAAAGGCCTGTCGTTTATTACAAATGTACTTTTAAATGCCCATTAAACTTTCTTAGATCACACCCCTAAATTCCAGGTGTATATCTGATATGGGCTGAATTCTTCCTTTCGTTACATGCACTCGGCTGCCAATGATGTCCTCAAGCATCGCTCTCATAATCTATGGCAGCATTTGTCCCTACAGATTTACACTATGGCTTGAATGCTGTCCCTATCCTGTATTGCAAAGATGCTTGGGTTTTATTTAGATGCATGCTTGCCAAAATACATGCTATAGACTAACTCTCAAGCTTATCCATACCATATTTTAAAATTATGGCTGCAGCATAGATGGTAGCAGCAAAAACTACTGATGCTAATCATGATAAACTTGTGCCAGCTTTTAGCTATTGAACTGATCCTGAAGCCCTCACTCATGTTGCTTGTCCTCCCTCATGCAATTAACTCTAGTGGGATGCCTCATCTAAGTACAATTTACACCATCTGCACCCTTTCAACCACAGGGGCAAACCGTCAGGCAGACAGAATTTAAGACCACTGATTCACTACTGCATATACCCCCCTTTTAATGAGTTTTGTGTCTTTCCGGGCAATAGCCTGACCTTCGGGAACATGTTGCATTTGAGAAAATAATAATAATAAAAAAATCCAACCACACAGCAAATGCCATCAAATAGCAACTGTCCTCAATCTAGAAATTGCACCTAATTTCTGCTCCCCATTTCTGCTACAAACTATAAGCAATTTGTATGTTCATTGCAAAATGCAATAGAAAAAATCCAGTCTCTCTTTCAAGTTTCCTTCTCAGGTCAGCCACTGGTATTTTGAAGATGTTTGTGGCCTAGATACCTACTGGTGTTTTTTTTTCTTTTCTATTTTTGTGAGTAAAATGGAGACAGACGTACACTTGATGTCATCACTTGTTACCATGACTATTTGGATGATATCATAGAATATTTTAGTCTGCCATTCAGCAACCCCATCTGCACCTCTTACTGAAATCAGGGGCTGCTTGACACCTTGGAAGCTGATGTGATCAGATTGCAGTGAAGCATGCCAGACCTCTGTCAACAGCAGCAGCATTTCACAACATGCACTCTGACCAGCTCCCTCATTCCCTCCCCCACACTGCTTCATCCCACCGTCTTTTATTACAGCTCACGGGGCCATATAGCTCTGAAAACTGGCGCTTCCCTCTTTCTGTCTTACAATAAGGAATGCCCCTTCAGAAACTGGCACAGTGAATATATGTCTTAAGAGGATGTGACACTTTACGCAGTCAATCCTTTATTCTAAGCTATCTGAGTTCAGTATAGAGCTGGAGAAAGGGATTAAAAGTGGTTTTAAACCACACTTATTTCCCCCTGATTCTATCTGGAAGGGACCATATCACAAGAGGAAGTTCTGATTCTTCTGTCAGGTACTTGGCTGTCTGCAGAGACAAGAGACTAATTCAGCAACAGCCAGGAACTACTGGGGCATCAGGGCATAGCCACACCCTCTTTCTCTCCAACACTCCCCAGTGTCAGGGGAGGTCTCGGGGATGAGATCCTCTAGGTTTACAGCTGCTTTGTTTCACCAGAGTGATGAAAATCGTGTGGCACAGGGGACAGCTGAAGACCAAGCTACTTCTTGGTGCAAGGTAAAGCAGCCTTAAGTCTGCTCTTACACACAGCTGTTGAGGCCTTGAGGGGCCATTCTGGCAGCTGGGTATGGTATTGCTCAGACATAGAGATCTCCATTAACCATTTAAGCTTGCCTTATGTCTGCTTTATGACATGAGACCCAGCACAAAGCAGTCTTAAATTGCCTTCCTTGTCTCATTTGTCCTGAGAGCTCTAAATCCCCACACTTAATTTTCAAAATTTCAGCATTCCTCACGACATTTACAAGTGTTGTCAGTGTAAACATGTATAGCACCCCAAAATGACACTGAATTTTCAAGATAAACACCACCTAATGCTACTGTGCCAATGGTAGCATTCCTTTTCAATGTAATGTAACAGAACCTTCCACTTGTTATTCGAAATGAAGCTGCCACAGAAACCAAGGAGCCTTTGTTGAGCAGAGTACATAAGGCCTTGACTACTGGGGCCCAAACCAGTTATTGTCACATTGAGTTTTGGTAATTACACTGGTCCAACAAACCTTCAGATCACCCTAGGTCTATATTAACAGGGGCAAAACTACAACAGAGTCCCTTCAGCTGTATGTAGCAAACTTCAAAGGGTACGTTTATACTGCATGGCTATTTCAAAATAAGCTATTCTGGAATAGTTATTCCGAAATAAGGGTATGTCTACACTAGCCCCCTAGTTCGAACATTAGGGAGGCTAATGTAGGCATTCGAAGTTGCAAATGAAGCCCAGGATTTAAATTTCCCGGGCTTCATTTGCATCTTCCCGGGCGCCGCCATTTTTAAATGTCCCTTAGTCCGAACTCCGTGACCGTGGCTACAGGCGGCACGGAGTAGGTAGTTCGAATTAGGATCTCTAATTCGAACTACCGGTACTCCCAAGGATTAGAGATCCTAATTCGAACTACCTACTCCGTGCCGCGTGTAGCCGCGGTCACGGAGTTCGGACTAAGGGACATTTAAAAATGGCGGCGCCCGGGAAGATGCAAATGAAGCCCAGGATATTTAAATCCGGGGCTTCATTTGCAACTTCCAATGCCTACATTAGCCTCCCTAGTTCGAACTAGGGGGCTAGTGTAGACATACCCTAACTTATTTCAAAATAGCACGTCTGCACTGCCGGGAAGCCTCAAAATTAGTCTGAGGCAGGCTTCCCTAATGTAGATGTGCTATCTCGATTTAGAGCCTCAGGAGACACTGGAGAGGAATAACTTAGAATGGCCCTGATAAGGGGTTATTTCAAAATAGCAGCAGCGGAGTGTCTACACATGCTTTATTTTGAAAAAGCTATTTCAGAATAGGCATTATTCCTTGTAGAATGAGGCTTACAGATATTGGAATAAGCCATCCGTTATTTCAAAGTTATTTTGAAATAACAAAATGGCTGTGTAGATGCTCACATTGGTATTTCAAACTTATGCTAATTATCTCAAAATAACGGCACAGTGTAGACACACCCAAAATGACTAACATGCTATGCTTGCATTTCCCAATCTGACAAGCCATACTGCCCGCTACTCTCTATGGTGGGCAATAATTTGCAGTTGGATGCTTGGTTAAGGAGGAGCCACTTGTTTGTTATTCACAGTTTTAATTTACAAACAGGTGAATTGGCTTCTGCCATGCTACTGCCTTTAACCTGGTACTTCAACAGCCTTTGTTGATAAATCCTGTGCTGAGTGATTGCCCCAAACACGGATACACACACCCTACCCATTCAATACCATATGGCAAACAAGTTCAAGTGTCTTTTTCAAAAGAAAATGTTTTGGTATGGTTGGTATTAGCAAATGTTTAACTTTACACAGCAAGTTGTGTTGTAGGTTATCTACACATCTTAGGACAGAAGGCAGACTGCACAGCAGCAGAGAGATACACGCTGCAAACAAAAGCAAAAGTCAGGCAAATCTCTGACTAGAAGTGGGGAGGCAACTTGCTCTGGGGATGAAATTTCAGGAAACAACTTTTTCATAATAAAGTCAAGGTGGGAATCCTGGGGTGTTCTCTACCTA